TTGCCGCCGCCGCCGCCGCACGGCGGCGAGCGGGAGAGCCGCCCGTCAGTCGCCGTCGCTCTCGCCCAAGGCGTCCTGGGCGGGGCGGGCCGCGGCGAGGCGCGGGGGACTCCCCTCTTGGCGCGGGGTCGTAGCGTCAGGATGGCATCAGAGTGAAAAGGCCGAACGGTCATTCACTGTCCCTGGGTGCGTGGCTGAAGTGGGATTCTGCGACGCGGAGTATTGTTGTTGTTGTTGATGTTGCTGTCGTTGTCGTCGTCGTCGTCGTTGTTGTTGTTGGGGTTGCCGTTGTTGTCGTTGTTGTTGTTAGTGCTGTTGTTGCTTGTTTGTTTGTTTGTTTGTTTGTTTGTTTGTCTGTTTCGTTGGTTAGTTCGTTGGTTGTTTGTTTGCGTGTTTGTTTGTGTGTATGTTTGTTAGTTTGTTACTTGCTAATGGTACTAATGGTGTTGGTGTCGCTGGTGTTGCTGCTGCTGGTGATGGTGTTGTTGGTGTGGTTTGTGTTGTTGGTGTTGTGATTGCTGTTGCTGGTGGTGGTGTTGTTGTCGTTGCCGTTGTCGTTGTCGTTGTCGTTGTTGTCGGCATTGTTGCTGCTGTTGTTGTGGATGTTGGTGTTGTTGTTGGTGTTGTTGGTGGTGGTGTTGTTGGTGGTGGTGTTGCTGCTGTTGAACATTATTTATTCTAAAGAATAATTATTGTTGGGCCCCCTGGTGCGCGCCCCCCCTGCGCCGCCTAGGCCGCAGCTACATTTTCATCATTTTCGTGAGGAAGCCTCAGAAAAGAGGGTGTGTACAGGATCCGGTTGTTTTGTTGTAATCCGCTTTCCCTTGCAAAAAACAATAGAAAATGACATTTCTTGTTCTAATATAATCAAATTTCAAGAATCCCTTGCAAAAAATAAGGTAAAGTGGACATTCGCGCGCGCAAGACGAAATCCTTCCAAAACCTTAGTGTTCGCAGCGATTTTAACATAAAAACATCAAAAAACCAATGGTTTTTCAACAAAAAAATGTCAAAATCTCATCCCGCGCGCTCTTGCGGATTCGTAGGAAACCCAACACTTTTTAAACATTTCTGTCAAACGGGCTTTTGCGAGCAACTTTTTCGAACTTCTGCGACAACGGTTGCGCACCTGCCAGGGCCATCATCCCTGTCAAATAATACCATGCGGGACACATTCGTTTTTTCTTCGCGCGCGCACGCCGAAATCTCCAAAAACCATGTGTATCATGTGTATCATGTACCATATGCATCATATGCAACAGATGTTCTGTGGAAGGCTTAACAACTTCTGTGGGTTAACAAGGCTTAACAACTTCTGTGGGTGTACGAACGTAGGCTTAACAACTTCTGTGGGTGTGTACTCCACGCCAGTGTAGTAGCCACGGTCGTCCGCAGGCCACGAAGTGAAGTGTCCGAACGTCATAGGGCGGGAAGCTGGGTGTGGGTGGTGGCGAAGAGTCGTGTGGATATTTGGTAGAGCTTGCACTGCCCCCCCACAAAGTGGGGGTATTGGCTGGCGTCGCATGAAAACCCTGGCACTGGTGAGAACACTGAGCGTTCGGGTAAAGTGATTATTGCTGTTGTTGCTGTTGTTGTTGTGTATGTGTTTGTTTGTTTGTTTGGTTGGTTGGTTGGTTGGTTGGTTGGTTGGTTGTTGTTGTTCTTTGGCGTCGTCCCCCCCGCGACCCGGCCCGCGACCCACCCGCGACCCACCCCGCGACCCACCCGCGACCCACCCGCGACCCAACCGCAACCCATCTCGCGACCCACCGGCGACACACCCGCGACCCACCCGCGACCCACCCGCGACCTGGCGCGCGACCCACCCGCGACCCACCCGCGACCCACCCGCGACCCACCCGCGACCCACCCGCGATCCACCCCGCGAACCGGCCCGTGACCCACCCGCGACCCTCCCGCGACCCAGCCCGCGACCCACCCGCGACCCACCTCGCGACCCACCCGCGACCCGGCGCGCGACCCACCCGCGACCCGCCCCGCGACGGGCGCCTGCGACGGGCTCGTTGTAGAATTCGTAAGACTGCAGACGTCCCCCGCCGCCCCCCTCACTCTTGTCCGCGACTGCGGGGCGCCACGTATAAAAAGCCATGGCATTGAAAACTACTGCTCACCATCGCTCGGCCGTCCACTCCCCGGGCATCTTGCGCGGTTTCATGCGTCCATCTCCTCGCAAGGTGGCCGAGCGATGCCAAGACTTAGGCGCTGCTCCTCCTCCTCCTCCTCCTCCTCCTCCTCCTCCTCCTCCTCCTCCTCCTCCTCCTCCTTCTCCTCCTCCTCCTCGCCATCCCCAGCCCCTGCTCCTCCCACTCCCCCCTCTTTCTCCTCCTCCGCCCACCCACCCCCACACCCCAGCCCCTCCCCCTCACTCTCCTCCCCCTCCCCCCCTCCCCTCGGCCGCACGCAGGAGCGACCCTTGGCGAGAGTGACCTCTGGTGCGCGGCGTTGGGGGAAGCGCGGAAGGGGCCAAACCCAAGCGGGCAAGCCGCTGCCCATCGCATCGCATGCAGCGATCGGGGCACCCCAGCGGGCCCGCACCAGAGGTCGCTCCGGCGAAGGGTCACTCTTCCCTTGCAGTCGGCCCCCGTCTGCCTCCCTCTCGCCCGGGGTTCCTCCTCGACGCCGCCCCCGCGCGGGGCGCTGAAGCCCTCGGAGAGCAGCGCGAGCTCGTACAGGGCGCCCTCGGGGCGGCTGCGGCGCGCGCTCGCGCGGGCCCTCCGCGGGCGGGCGCCTCGGCACAGGGCCATTGGCCCGCGGCGCTCGAGGTGCTCGCGGGCGGCCCTGCGCGCGCGGGCTGGCTGGCGGTGCGCGCGGGCTGCGCTCCTGGGCACCGGGAGGCCAAGCCACCCTCGCGGGGTGGCCAGAGAGCGCGGCGAGGAGGTCTCTGGACGTGTTCCGCCTCGGGGGGGGGCCCTCACCGGGCCCTGGGGCGCCAGTCGGCGGCGAGCGATGGGGGGGGAAGTGAAAAGGAGAAGGCCTTCTCAGAAGGCGGCGGGGCTTCTCAGAGGCCCTCGCGCCTGCTGGGACGTTTTTTGCGTCTTGGGGGGAGGCTTTTAAAACTTCTCAAAAGCCCAGGGGGCTTCTGAGCCTTCTGAGAAGACCCGCCCCTTCTCATTTCCCCCCCGTGCTCGCCGCCGTGTCAAGAAACGACCCAGGGTAAAAGACTGGTCCTGGGGAAGTGGCCGCTGGCGGCGCGCACGAGGGGGTAGGGGGAGGGGGGAGGGCTTCTCAGAAGGAGGCTTCCTCTTAGGAGGCGCGGGCCCTGCGTCTATAGACGAGGCCCGCGCCTTCCATGAGGCTGGGGTGCTTTTCAGAAGCCTTCCCCCCTCCCCCAAATTGCCCCCCCCTGCGCGTGGCCAAGGTCGAGACCTCTGGGGGGCCACGTTTTGCGGAAATCACGGCGTCGGGGGTCTGGGGAGGCATGGGGGGGGTACCGAGGCGGAGGCGGCCGCTCGGAGAGCGGAGTTCGGCTCGGTCCTCCTCGAAGGCACCCGCCAGAGGCTCACATCTGGGGATGTCTAAGCGAATGGGCCTGGCGAGGAAAAAGATTGTCCCTTGAGCACCGCACAAAACAACAACAAAGCAGCAACAACAACAACAACAATAATAATAATAATGATTTTAAGACTGTTCGCCCTTATATGCTCAAGTGTCCAATAACGCGTATTTCCCGAACCCTCGATACCCGCCCTCTTCGTCTTCGATCGAACTCCTTTTGGGGGGTATATCTTTCTTCCCTGCAGGCCGGGCCCCAGCAAGCGGCGGGGCGGCCGCGGACCGTCGGCCTGGCCAGCGGCAGCGCTGATCGGCGGGGCGGCCGCGGACCGTCGACCCGACCCCAAGAGGGACGGACAGGGGACCGACCACGACGACGACGACGACGACGACGACGACGACGACGACGACGACGACGACGTCGAAGACGACGGCGACGACGACGACGACGACGACGGCGACGACGAGCGAAAGCGAGAGCGAGAGCGAGAGAGAACGACAGCAGGGCCACGAAGGGCACGAAGTAGGCCACGAAGGGCGACAGCGGGGACACGAAGGGAATGCGTATGGGGCCACGAGGAGCGCGAACGAGCGGGGGCCACGAAGTGCAGATAATGCAGGGCCACAGAAGGCAACTATGGAGCCACTGAGGGTAGCAACTGGGCCACGTAGGACAGTGAGGGGGACACAAATGGCGACAGCGGGGCCACGAAGGGCATGCACATGGGGCCACAACGGGCGCGACTCCTGGGTGCCTGGGTGTCGGGAGCGCAGCGCTTGGGCAAATTGCAGGACATTCCAACGCAAGGCTATTCTTCAGTAAGTTGCAAGCAAGTCTCCAGCGCGCGACTCCAGAGCGCCGGGAGAGCGATTCCTCAATAAATTGTGAGGAAGTCCCAAGCGAGAGCGCGATTCCTGAATCGATTCCTGAATAAAATGCGAGGAAGTCTCGGGCGGGAGCAGGGGTCCTTGCTAAATTGTAAGGAAGTCTCGAGCGGGAGCCGTTGTTGTTGTAACCCGGGGGCCAAGGGCCCAGTTTGAGCAGGAAGACTTTCCCTGTCAAAAAACGGGGTGCGAGCGTCGAGGGGCACACTTTGATTGGGAAAAAAGAATATGCACCGGTGGGGGGATCAACCATAATTATTCAAAAATGAGAATTCAACAACAACAACAACAACAACAACAACAACAACAACAACAACAACAACAACAACAACAACAACAACAACAACAACAAGAACAAGAACAACAACAATAACAACAACAACAACAACAACAACAACAACAACAACAACAGCAACAACAACAACAACAACAACAACGTTTTGCGGCCACGGAACGAGGATGTGCACATGAGCGACGAAAAGAGAAGGGTCTTACGCGAGATGGCATGGCGACCCCACGCAGCGGCTTACGCAGGCCGTCAGCGCGGCACGCCAGTGGAGACGAGGGCGCTTCCGCGCGACCTTACTCAGCGAGCCTACGCGCCAGCGTCGGTGAAGACGAACCCCATCTTTCTTCCGTCGCCCACATGCTGCTACTTGCTACCCCCTCCTCCCCATCCCCTGGGGGATTCGCACACGAGCTGAAGCTGAGCCTCACACCTGCCGCCCCGCGGACGCGCCGCCCCCACGGGAGGCGACGGCCGAGCCGAAGGAGGGGGGGCAGGAAGCGGAGGGCCCCGGGGCGCCCGGGGCGTCGCCACGCGCCGCGCTTATTGAAGGGGCCCTGGGACACACAAATAAATACGCACAAATAACCAGAATCCCTATCTTTCCCCATATTTTCTGGGATTTTGTCTTCCCCCCCACTTCCCATATTTTCCCACATTTCCCTGGGAGTGGACGATTCATTGTGTCTGTGTGTGTTTCTCCCCTCCTGACTTATGCTTCTCCGAGCCCGGGCGGCCTCCAGAGGGGGGGAGAGGGGGGCGCTCGCGCTCGGGCCCTCGGGCGCAGGAACGCTCAGGGTCGAATCGAGGAGCCGGCTCGGCGACGTCGAGGCGGCTCGGATCGGCGGAAGCTGCGGCAGCCAGGTCGGGAGAGAAGTCGAGTCGGCGGAGATCGGCAGGGGGAGGGGGTCGCGCACGGGCCCTCGGGCGCAGGAACGCCCGGCATGGAACCGAGGAGCCGGATCGGCGACGTCGAGGGGACTCGGATCGGCGGAACTCGGCGGCCAGGTCGGGAGAGAAGTCGAGTCGGCGGAAGTCGGCAGGCTGGCAGGGCCCCCGCGGAGGAACCGAGATCCAGATCGGAGTCCGAAGTCAAGTCGGATCGGAGGCGGAATCGATCGAGATCGGATCGGATCGAGTCGGAGGAGTCGAGAGAAGCCCTGGGGGCAGGGGAAATCAAGTCGGATCGGAGTCGGAATCGATCGAGACCGAATCGAGTCGAGTCGAGGGAGTCGAGGGGAGCCCTGGGGGGAGAGGGGGAGCACCAGCCCAGGGCGCGCAGAGTCAGCGAGGTCTTGTATTTTGGGGGAGTCGCGGGCTCCAGAGCCCCGCGCTGTCTGGGGGTCGTGGCGCGGGGGGGGGGGCGCAGTGCGGGAGCAGCTCTGGGGCGAGTCGCTCGCCCCCACAGCTGCCTGCGGCAGCTGGCACTGGCCTTGCATACAGGGCGCCCACACTTACGCACCCTCGACACGGTTGCAGAAGTTCGGCATGTGAGATCCACGGTTGCGGGGGCGGGTGTCGTATTCCAACTGCTCAGAGCGAGCGGCACGTGGAAGAGAACGACGAGGCGAGAGGCCAGGACGAGTGCACGAGCCGGGCAAGAAGAAGCCTGCGCCGAGCTTACGTGGCAAGCAGGCCAGGTGCAGGACACGTGTGCTTCGAGCCCGCAGAGGCAGACTGCGAAACAGGCAGGCTGCGCTTTTGACCAGTGGCGGCACAGGCGCCTACAAGAATATTGCGAGATGGTGTGACGAGGTTAACTGGAAGATGAGGTACGAGCAAGGGTACCTGCCCGTTTTGTGCCACTAAAGGTCATTCGCTTCCCCCCTCACGGCAAAACGCCTCGGAATCGTCGCTGAACAGGCTGGTGGCGTGTGCGAAGCGTCGGATTAGCGTTACCTTCCGCTCTAGCTTTAGAGCTGAGCTTCCATCACTAGCTGACGTTCAGCTTTAAATGAAGCTCTGGCTCTTGCTTTGCTTCGCCACCACTTCAGCTGAAGCTTCAGAGACCCTAGACAGACACCACAGCAGGACACCGCGAGGCACCACAACGGGATGCGAAGCCTCTGGAACACCACAAGTGGCATGCAACCACTACACTTCAGCTCGAGTCATAGCTTCACCGACACGCCCAGTGTCAGCAATACTGCTAGCTCTGGCCGCATGTTGCGCTTGGGCATTGGGGTGTAAGCCTCTGTCTGCACACATGTCTACATGCGTATGCCCCGCCCGTGTGAAATGGAGCCGCAGGTTTGGAAGACAACGCGCTCGTCGCCGCAGGAGCGAATCGGTGCTCGGGTTAGGGCGAGGGGTGCACAACTACATGCGAGTAGACACTCATACAAAAGCATGTACACTCGCTTCGCTGCTGCCCCCCCCCGCCCCCTAGAGAGCCCCAAGACGGCTCTGGAGGACCGCCTTGGAGCTCTTTCGGCAGCGGGAGGGGTATCTGGAAGTCTTGGGACATCTGAACACCTCTTGGGAAGAATGCGTGCAACTATGCATATCGACTACGTGTGGCACAATTCAGATGATAACATGTTAGACGTTGATTAAGCTGTGTCTGAGCTGTTGTTGATCATGTTTGCCTGTAGCGCCATGATACCATGCTATGTAAGCATCGGCTGATCATATTCGCCCCGACATGGACGTTGGATGTAGGTCTAGTAGTTCGGGCAATACCTTCATTGAACCGTACCTGTATATTTGCGGGTCGGTCCAGTGACACGAGTCCAGCGGTACACCATGGGGACAGTATCTAGACACATCATTGAGGCACCATCGAAAGTCAATCGGGGTACAATCGCAGAGCCACCAAACCGCCATGGGGAAGCTGCCGGGACAAGATCGAGAACCAATCCAGAGCACCGCCAGAACACCACTGGGACACGATCGGAGCACAGTCTGAGCCCTGTGGAAAGGCCGTCGGGGCAACGCAAGGGCACGCCGCGAGGATTACACGACCAGATACGCCACCCGCCCAGGGAACCGGGCGAAGAAGGACGAGCACGCGAGGCGAAGGGCTTCGGAAGGTCGCGGGTGTCCGCCAGCGCACGGCGAGGCGTGTCCCAGGCTCTTCGGAAGCAAGTCGTGGGCCGCCGAGTCGGGGTACTCACATCGAGCCGCTCAGAGACTGGCTGAATGCAAAGCTTACGAAGGCCCTCGAGCTGTTAAAGAATAAAGGAGGCCCTGGCGCTTGGAGAAAGCTGGACGGGTATCGATGCCAAGAGGAGGAATCCAGAACCAGGCGAAGATCGGCCAGCGCTCGAGGGCAAATCAGCACCAGAGCGTTCCTCACCACAAGAGACAAGAAATTACTACTTCCGAAAAGGGGGGCAGACTCACCGCGGTCTTCACAGCACCCAGCTGAAAATTGTTTCAGAACTCATTCTGCCCATCCTCCCCTTCCTCTCCCTCCACCCATCCCAATATAAATTGCCGGAACGCGTCAGCTGTGAGGTGGCGTCGCGGAGGCTGTCCAGCAGCTCCAGGCAACTCTGCAACGCCAGGCGACACTATAGACCCAAAAATACCGAGAGCGGAGGAAGGGAGGATGAGAAGGTAGGGAACATGGGACGGCGAGAAAGCAACAAGGCAACTGCAGGCAAGCAGTCCGCTCCTCGATCTTCGACATGGTTGACCTCAATGTCCCCATCTTCTTCGTCAGGCGTCCTGGAAGATAAGGAAGCTCCTGCCGAGGTGTCGCAAGCGGCGCCGCGACTGCACTCGAAGTGGCACCAAGGAGTGCACGGTCGAGCGCTCCCACAGAGCACCGTGCCATACGCACAATAGTGGCGCACAGAGGTGCACCCACAGTCTTCGCGCGACTCAAGTGCGGCTGGGTGCGCCCGCGGCGAGCAGCCTTCGAGGAATCCCCCGGGCAGGGGCGGACAACAGCGAGGCAGCGGCGGGCTCGCCCGCAGCTTGCGGGGCGCGGGAAAAAAGCCCGCCGCATGCGCCGACCTTTTTTTACAGATTGCACAACGGGCCCGCCGCGGGTGCCGAATTCTTGACAGGTCGAGATGGGTGAGTCGTGGGTGGGTCGCGGGCGGGTCGCGGGCGGGTCGCGGGGGGGTCGCGGGTGGGTCGCGGGCTGGTCGCGGGCGGGTCGCGGGGGGGGGTCACGGGGGTGGTCGCGGGCAGATCGCGGGCAGGTCGGGGACGAGGACGGCGACAAAAACAAACCGCAAACTAAGCATTAGAGGCAAGCCTCACCGCGAAAGCGCACTTCAAGCACGCACTCAGGGCCTGGTATAATACCGCTCGGCCCCCTCAGTCCCATTTGCTGTGAACCGTTAAACCGCTTGAGCCCGTTCCAAAGCTTCAGTACTCTCGAAACACTTCACCACCAGCTTCAAATCCTTCGGAAGTGTGAGCCACTCCACAGGTACCGTCTGCTTCTAGCCAATACCAATTGGACCCAGTTGGCACGTGCACTGTCTGGCGACCGCGCCAACGGATTGAGCAGCTGCTTGAAATGTGTTTGATGTTCCATTGCTGCATTTCAAATGTTGGCTGCTTTGAGGGCGACCGCAGCGCGCCGTCGCAATCTCTGCGGCGCGAGTGAAGTTCGAAGAGCGTCTCCACAGTCGCAGTATTCCTGACGCCTCGACCCAATCCCTCCTCCCTCCCCAAGCCTTCCTCCTCGATCCTCCCTCCTCCCAGACCTTCCTCGTCCCCCTCCTCCGCACCCCCGTGAGGCCTGCGATTCGATCAGATGCGGCTCTCGCAGACTGGAGCCACTGCTAAACACCGCCCTGTTCAGAGGAACTCTGACATTACCAACCACAACAACATCAGCAGCATCATCAACACCGCATAAGCACCAGCACCCCCCTCATCCTCATCCACATCATCATCAACAACATGAGCATCATCATCAACATCATCGTCATCAACAGCATCCCCATCATAATCATCATCATCATCATCAGCAGCAGCATCATCATCAGCAACATCATCATCATGATCATCATCATCATCATCATCATCATCATCAGTAGCAGCATCATCATTGTCAGCATCATCATCAGCAGCATCATCATCATCAGCATCAGCAGCAGCAGTATCATCATTAGCAGCATCATCCTCATCTTCGTTCTCATCCTCATCATCATCATCATCAGCAGCAGCGTCATCATGATTATCGTCGCAGGTCATAATCATCCTCATCATCATCACCACCATCATCGCCGTCACCATCATAACAAGCATCATCATGTTCATCGCCATCGTGAGCGTAGTAGTCGCAGTCGTCGCCATAGCCATCGTCATCCAGGCAAGATGTTCCATGCCAGAGAAAGCGGAGAGGACGCAGGCGGAACCAAGTCACTGAGATCATGCGAAATGAGACACGACAGCTTAAACTGACAAAGAATAGAAAGAGGAGGAGGAGGAGGAGGAGGAGGAGGGATGCTGTCCCTAATCATAGACGGCTTGTAGCATCGAAGGGCCTGACGCATCGGCGCAGCCAAAGATTAACCTGCCAGGGTGCAGTCGGCGGCTGAGGGAGCAAAGAGACAGCTGGAGCCGCTGAGAAGAGGTAACACACGTTGCCCTGCCACTGGAGTTTCACTTGGCGGAGCCGGGAGGACACCCAGAGCCTAAACACATGGTCGAGGTTCGGCACAAGTACAGGCGCGAAGCGCTTAACTGACCCCAGGAAGATGGAGGAGGAGGAGGGGAGGGGGAACAAGACCAAAAGAATGGATCCTAACGCGCCGCCCTGTGACTGCAAGAGGTACTCCCGACAGGTCCCCAAGCGCCACACTGTGACTGCATGAAGATTCCGAGGAGGAGGAGGAAGAGGAGGAAGAGGAACAGGATGAGGACCAGAGTGAACCCAAGATTCACCAGGGATGCTGTCATGCACCATCCGATCCCAAGTCCCCTTCCGATAAGTCCCTACCAGCCTTCCTGTCCACTACCAGGAAAAGAAATGCCCCGTTGAAAGACCAGCAGGCTCTGGGCCTTCCACATAGGCGACAACCCCGTTTTGAAAAGGAATTGCCTTGCGTCCTTCCAGCGCGTAGTCTTGACGCTAGAACCGTATGGTCATGCAGTTCAACGAGGTGCCCATCCATTTTGGGAAAGGACTGCCCCCTATCCGTGTAATTGTTGCACACGTCTGCAGCTCTGGCCATGAGCGCCGAAGAAAAAGTAAGCGAGAGCGACATTCTGAAAAGGACCACCCATCCAGCCGTGCAGCTGCTAGCTATGTTCAAGCGGTTGGTCTCTCATTGCCCGGAAACCTCAAGGGGGAGCCCCACTTTGAAAAGAAAAACCGTCGCCCACCCCTGCAATTACTACTAGCGTTGAAGACCAGAGCGCGCTCAGTTCAGGTGCCAGCCCTATTTTGAACAGGAGCCGCCCTCCATGTCTGAAGCCGTTGCAACCTGTTTGATCCAGGACAGCACAAGCACATACAAACAACAAACAAACAAAAACTGGCGAAGGACCCACCAATAAGCCGCTGTGACTACCGCAACACAGGTGGAAACTAAGGGAGGGGCTAGTAACAGGACTAACGCGCGCGTGATAAGAACGGGGCGACGCTGCTGATGGGGTCGCAGGGCTCAGCCGCAACGGGTTACATCTGGATCTAACCTGTCACGGCTGATCTGAGCGTCTGCCGGCCCAGCCCTGGGAGACATCAGGGTGAGCTCTGGAGAGCAGCAGGCAGCGGGGCGCTTGGTGGAGCTCCTGTGGGGCCACGAAGAGCTGTGGGGCCACGAAAAGTACGAGGGGTGTGCCAGAACAAGCGCGGTCCCGCATGCGACTCTTGCCGACGGGGCGCTCGGTGGAGCTCCCTGGGGGGCCGCAGAATTAGTGCGGCGGGGGGGGGGGGAGGGGCCGAACGTCCCGCCACCGGAGCGCTCGGCGGAGCTCCCCCTATGGGGCCGCGAGGCGCGAGAGGGGTGCGCCGACATGGGCCTGGGCCACGCAGAGGCGACGCCTGCCAAGCGGGCCTAAGGGGTGGACCTCCCTATGGGGGGCCACGCGCGGAGGGGCCGGTGCCGACGTGGGCGCGGGGTCACGCGGGCGGTGCCTGCGCCACGGGGAGCCGCGGTGGAGCTCCATGTAGGGGGCCGCGAGACGTGTGAGAGATGTGCCGAATAGGGGGCCACGCGCGAACCCTCCCCCTCAGAAATCGTGGGGGTAGGGGTAGGGCTCGCATGTGGCCCCCTACCGAAATGGTCTGGAGAAGACACGTGAGCGCAGCCACTGGTGCTTCAGGCGGAGCTTCCTACGGGGCCACGACGCGCGTCAGGGGTGTGTGTCGAAGTGGGGTGGAGGCGGCATGCGGGCGCAACCACCAGGGCCTTCGGTGGAGCGCCCCGTGGGGCCACGCGTGAGGGGTGTGCCGTAAGTGGGAGCGGGCACGCTTACGATTCCTGCCACTGGAGCCTTCGGTGGAGCTCCCTACTGGGCCACGAAACGTGTAAGTGGTGCGCCGAACTGGTCTGGAGAAAACATGCGGACGCAGCCACTGGGGCCTTAGGTGGAGCTCCCTATGCGACCACCAAACATGTGAAGAGGATGCATGCGGGCGCAACCACTGGGGCCTTAGGTGGAGCTCCCTGTGGGGCCACGAAACGCGTGAGGGGTGTGCCAAGGTGGGGTGGGAGGGGCATACAGGCGCAATCACGGAGGCCTTAGGTGGAGTTCCCTGTGAGGTTACGAAAATTGTGGTGCCCAGTGGGGTGGTGGCGACATGCGGGCGCAACCCGTAGGGCCTTAGGTGGAGTTCCATTGGGGCCACCATAAGTGTGAGGGGTGCGCCAAAGTGGAGTGGTGGCGGCATGCAGGTGCAACCACTGAGGCATTAGGTGGAGCTCCATATAGGGCCACCAATCGTGCAAAGGGCGTTCCAAAAAGGGGTGGCGGCGGCATACGGGCGCAACTACTGGGCCTTAAGTGGAGCTCCCTATGGGGCCAGGAAAAGTGTAAGGGGTGCGCCAAAGTGGGGTGGTGGCGGCATGCAGGCGCAGGCACTTGGGCCGTAGGCAGCGCTCCGTCTGAGGTCACGGGGCGGGCGAGGTGTGTGCCAAAATGGAGTGGAGACTTAGACGATGCGAAGGAGGAGGACGAGGAGGAGGAGGAAGAGAAGGAAGAGAAGGAGGGTTTGAGAGATTCTAAAGCATCCGTGCCGTTTTGCACTGCTCTGTGCCCTAGTGGGCTTCTCTTCCTTTCCAACGTTTTTCGCCCTCCCATGTCCCCTCGTGCGCGCGCTGGTTTTACAACCGTGAGGTGGAACAAGCGCCGCAGTCCGAGCAGTTTCTGTCCTCGGATCGCGGCCATCAGGGCGCGACGGCTCACGCAGGCCAGCGTTTGTCCTCCCCCCCCACAAAAAACAACAACAACAAAAAAACAGCTGGAGAGGGGGGCAGGGCCGAGCAGAAGCAGAGAGGGGGGGGGGGAAACCCAGAGGCACCGATACCGCTGCTCCCCTGACCTCTCCCTGGGGTGCGCTCCGACCAAAATTTTCGCGGCGAATCCAGCGGTGGCGACGACAGAGGCCCAGGAGGCCCAAAAAGGGGAAAACGAGGGGAGGGTGGCGGGAAAACCAGGGGAGGGAAAACGAGGGGAGGGAAAACAAGGGAAACGATGGGAAAAGAGTTGAAAACGAAGGAAAAAAAGAGTTACCTTTCCTCCTCCGAAAAAGGGTTACCTTTCCTCCGCCGAAGAAGGGGGGGGGAAGAGGCGGGCGGGCGGCGGTCTCGCAGGGGGGGGGGATCTCCTGCAGCCCGTTGTAGACCGCGTCCACGCAGGCGAGGCACGTCTCGACGCCGGCCCGGGAGCTCCTGCCGCGCCCCGCGCTGCGGATGGCCTGGCGCCCGACCTCCCCCGTGAGGTCCATGAGGCCGCCAAGGTACTCGACGTCCAGCAGGCGGAACGGCAGCCCGCTCGCCACCTGCATGTCCTGTGCCAAAGAGGAACCCCCCAAAAAAAGAACTCTCCTCCTCCTCCTCCTCCTCCTCCTCCTCCTCCTCCTCCTCCTCCTCCTCCTCCTCAGGAAGCAGCTCCTGCAAGACGAAGCCAGGACGGGGAGAACATCGGGCGAGGACAAATCGGGAATCTCTGAGATCTGGCGGCTCTGGAGGGCGTCTCGGGCGCCGCGGCCTTCTCGGAGCTTTCCGGAACGCTCTGAGAGCGTTCCAGAAGGCTCTGGAACGGATTCGTCCTCGTCCTAGCCCCGTCCGAAGAGGTCTTCGTGGGAACGACCGAAGGCTACTAAGCCCGATTCAGGGCCCGCTGAGCTGGATGAGGCGAGACTCAGCCCAGGATGAAGCCGAACTAAGTTCAATCCGGCCAGATAGAGCCGAAGCACATACGAACATGTCAGATAGTGAGTTCAGGGGCGCAATGTGTGGTCGAGCCTTGAGCTTCCCGGAGTGCCCCAGGAGGAGGAGGAGGAGGAGGAGGAGGAGGAGGAGGAGGAGGGAAGGAGGGGGAGGGGGAGGAGGAGGAGGAGAGGAGGAGGAGGAGGAGGAGGAGGATGGAGGAGGAGGAGGAGGAGGAGGAGGGGAAGGGGGAGGAGGCGTGGGAGGAGAGGAGGAGGAGGAGGAGGAGGAGGAGGAGGAGGAGGAGGAGGGGAGGGAGGAGGAGGAGGAGGAGGAGGAGGAGGAGGAGGAGGAGGAGAGGAGGAGGAGGAGGAGGAGGAGGCGGAGGGGAATGGGGGAGGAGGAGGAGGAAGGAGAGGAGGAGGAGGAGGAGGAGGAGGAGGAGGGGAGGAGGAGGAGGAGGAGGAGGGGAGGGGGAGGAGGAGGAGGAGGGGAGGAGGAGGAGGGAGGAGGAGGAGAGGAGGAGGAGGAGGAGGAGGAGGAGGAGGAGGAGGAGGAGGAGGTAGGGGAGGAGGAGGGGAGGAGGAGAGGAGGATGAAGGGGGAGGATGAGGCGGAGGAGGGGAGGAGGGAGGAGGAGGAGGAGGAGGAGGAGGGAGCGCCAAGGGCCATCGGGGGGATACGCAACTTCCGCGGGGCACCTGCGGGCCGGCCGGTCTCGGTCTCTTGCCTGACGCACCGACTGCAGACACACACCCTCGGAGGTTACCGCGGGCTTCGTGCAACCCTCCTCGAAATCTCGGGAGCGGCCAAGAGGGGGGTGTCCAAGAGGAGGGGGTGCAAATCATGACCCGCGGCATGTGCGCGGCCCAGCGGGGGGGGGCCAGGGACGTAATGAAATAAGAAGAGGCGCCATAAAATCTGGGGAAATATCATGGCCCCCGCCATGATATCCACGCCCCCCCCCTAGTCATCACCCCCCTCTTTGCCGCCCCAGGAAATCAAGCGCGAGATCTCAATGTCGGTCGACGCGGGAAACGCGGCCCACAGGTTGTGTCTGCAGTCGCCACATTCGGCGCGAACGCTGAAATTCTGGGGTCCTGGGGCGCTGCCACGTGGCAGGAAAAACTTGCGTTTGGTTTTGAGGGGGGATGTGGGTCGGTGCCAGACCCCCCTGGCGGACGCCTCCGACGCCGCGCGCCGGGGGAGGAGAGGTCCAGCGCCGATGCAAGAGATCCGCGCGGCCCTCTGACAGAGTGCTACTTGCCTTGTGTCTTCTTCTTCGATCTACGCAGAGGTCCGCGGCGAAGCGAGAAGGAGAAGGCCTTCTCAGAAGGCTCGGAGGTCCCCCCGGGCTTCTGAGAAGCGTTCTGAGCCCTCCCCGGACAAGAGCACGGAAAACTTCCGCCGAAGGCGCCGGGGCTCCAGAGAAGTCCCGCCGCCCTCTGCGGAGGCCCTCTCTTTCTCGCTCTCGGGAGCGGCCAAAAGGGGGGTGTCCAAGAGGGGGGGGTGCAAATCATGACCGGCGGCATGTGCGCGGCCCAGCGGGGGGGGCCAGGGACGTAATGAAATAAGAAGAGGCGCCATGAGATCCGGGGAAATATCCTGGCCCACGCCATGATATCCACCCCCCCCCCTAGTCATCACCCCCCTCTTTGCCCTCTCTTTCTCACTCCCCCCCTTCCTGAGCCTTTTCTTTGGGTGGAGGGCTCAGGGTGAAATCCATGTGGGTTTTTGCACCTCGAAAATCAGGCCGTCCTGTGGCGCACCTTTTGCAGACTCGAGCCTCGAAAATCCATCGAAACGGCATTTCAGATTTCACCCTTTGCCCTCCGCCCAAAACAAAATGCTCGCCTTCGCTCGCCGCCGAAGAGGGCGCCTCTAGCTTGGACGCCCGAAATGGGTACCGAAAACATGGGTACGATGCCCAACAGCAAATGCTGTCCCAAACCAACAGCGGCCGCTGTTGGGCAGGCGGCCTCCTGTCTCGAATGGACACAGAACAGGAACTGCTGTTGGGCATAGTACCCATTCTTTCGGTACCCATTTCGGGCGTCCAGATCTAGGTCACCACCGGCGCCTGGCCAGGGAGGGCCATCCCAGGCCGCAGGGGGGCGGGGTCTGCCCCCGCTCTGGGCTCGAGGGCCGGGACGGGCGGCCTCGCTGCAGCACCACGGGGCTCCGAACGGCCCTGGCCGGGCGACAGATAAAAAAGAGATAACAGATCCTCGTCGTCCTCCTCCTCCTCCTCCTCCTCCTCCTCCTCCTCCTCCTCCTCCTCCCTCCTCCTCCTCCATCCTCCTCCTCCTCCTCCTCCTCTCCTCCTCCTCCTCCTCCTCCCCTCCTCTTCCTCCTCCTCCTCCTCCTCCATCTCCTCTCCTCCTCCTCCTCCTCCTCCTCCTCCTCCTCCTCCTCCTCCTCCTCCTCCTCCTCCTCCTCCTCCTCCTCCTCCTCCTCGTGCCACTCCTCCCTCTGTCTCCCCTGTGGAGCCCTTTCGCGGACTTTTGGTTCCAGAGCCCTCCTCCTCCTCTGGCGAAGGGCCGAACCAAATGCAGCTGCGAGTACCGCAAGACAGGTGGAAAGTCAGGAAGGGGGCTACCAAGAGGAACTGAGGCGTGCGTGAGAAGGACGGAGCGGCGCTGCTGATGGGGTCGCAGTGCGCAGCCGCAGTGGGTTACGTCTAGATGTATCCACCTCACAGCTGATCTGAGCGTCTGCACGCCCTGCCCTGGGGAGCAGCAGGGCGCGGCCTGGGGAGCAGCAGGCGGCGGTCACGCATGCGATTCCTGCCGACGGGGCATTCGGTGGAGCTCCGTAAGGGGCCACGAAACGTGCGAGGGGTGTGCCGACATGGACGCGGCCACGCATGCGATTCCTGCCACGGGTGCCGTAGGTGAAGCTCCTTATGGGGCCACGAAACGTGCGAGGGGTGAGCCGACATGGTCTTGCGAAGGCATTGGAACGCAACCACTGGGACATTAGGTG